TCCAGCCCCTCAAATAAATTTTGTGTGAAAGGTGTTTTCCCTAAGCTATTGAGTCAGATGGCTAGATTTGTGCTCTAAAAAGCTTCTTTTGAGCTCAGTATGAAAAAGTTTTCCTAAAAGGGTAGATGAAAGACCTGGTGCAAAGTCTGTTGCAGTTGGCTGAGCAAGAGTTAAAGAGACCTGGCAGAGGTTAGAAGAATAAAAGAAAGGGATGAGTTCGAAAGTTAATTAAGAAAGACACAACTAGTGTCAGTATTTCTTTTGTTATTTCATTTCTTCCTCTTAATTTTTTTTACATGACCTTCTTACTCCCTTTCAGTTGCTGCTAAATAAAATTTCACAAAGCAACCACCACCCAATCAGTCTTTCCTGGTCAGTATGCAGCACACTTCCTCTTATGACCCCTCTTTCTCCTACCCCCAAGTGCCACTATCACCAACCAAAGCTACCTTCTAGGTTTTGAACTTTATAAAAATATGTACACAGGAGCCAGAGAGATGGTACAGTGGGTAAAGGCAGTTACCTTGCATACAGCTGACCAAGATTCAACCCCCAGATCTACACACACAAACCTCTGAGCCCCACTAGGAGTGACCCCTCCGCAGTGTCAGAGTAAGCCCTGAGCACTGCCTGATGTGATCCTTATTTTAAAAATAAGGGATTCACATTGCTCCATGAACATATAGGTGAAGATGTCATTTCAACTACACTTTTCCATCTCTGGGATAAATTCCCAGCAGTGGTATTGAATCTGGAAAAAACTCGAGTACCTGAGAACAGATGACTGGTTAAAGAAACTTTGGTACATCTACACAATGGAATACTATGCAGCTGTTAGAAAAGATGAAGTCATGAAATTTGCATATAGGTGGATAAACATGAAAGTATAATGTTAAGTGAAATGAGACAGAAAGAGAGGGACAGATATAGAAAGACTGCACTCATTTGTGGGATATAATGTAACAGAATGGGAGACTAACACCCAAGAACAGTAGAGATAAGTACCAGGAGGATTATTCCACAGCTTAGAAACTGGCCTTGCATGCTGGGGGAAAAGGCAGCTCAGATAGAGAAGGGACCACCAAGTAAAGGGTGCTAGGAGGATCCGCTAGGGATGGGAGATGGGGACTGAAAGTAGACTATAGACCGAACAAGATGGCCACTTAATACCTTAACTGCAAACCATAACACCCAAAAGGAAAGAAAACAAAAGGGAATGCCCTGCCACAGAGTTGGGGCAGGGTGGAAGGGAGGGCGCGGGGGGTAGTGGGAGGGATGCTAGGACCACTTTTGGTGGAAAATGGGCACTGGTGGAGGGATGGGTGCTCGACCATTGTATGACTGAAACGCAAGCACAAAAGTTTGTAAGTCTGTAACTGTACCCCACGGTGATTCACTAATAATAAAATTTTTTTAAAAAATAAGGGATTCACAATAGTACATATTCTGTTATGCCCAACTTCCTTCACTCAATATTTGTTGTGTTTGTGTGAATTCACTCATGTTGTGCTCAACATGACTTTGCTCAAGGGCATTGCCAAACACTATGCCTCAATGAATATTTTATTCCACCATTTCCTCAGCTGCTCAGGTGGTTGAGTTTCAAGATTTGGATAGTCCTGCCATGAGCATTCTTCATCCCACACTCCCTACTGTTTTGGCTCTTGCAGGCAGTGCTTCTGGGCTACCACAGGGGCCACATACTGATGGGGCAGGGTGGAGAGATAAAACATATGATACTGGGAATGAAACCCAGAACTTCTCAGATGCCAGTCATGTTCTCTACCACTGAGCCACATCCCTAGCCACCATAATGTTCTTCCTTCTATAGGGAGCTTTTGTTGTCGAAATTCCAGGACATAGGTGATGCTTACTATTGGCTTGGATAGACACTACCAATATTTTATAATTGAGATAAGGGTGTTTCTGGTATATAGTGCTCTCATTATGATTTTATCTTACATTTCCTCATGACTAATAATGTTGAGTGTGATTTTATATTTCCCATTATTTTTTACAAATTGTTTTGATATCAAAAGAAGCTATCAAAGTTTCTCTAAAAAGAAGCTATCAAAGTTTCTCTAAAAAGAAGCTATCAAAGCTTCTCTAAGGCTTAACATTCACTTGGGGTCATTTATCCCCAGATTCCTTTTGGGAGGAGAGCATCCCAGTCTAGTTGTGTCACTCACATGCTGGTGAAACCATTAAAGTCTTGTTAAGGCATGATTCTCATCCTTGCAAGGGTTCATATGGAAGTGGACTTTCCCTGTTCCCCACTTCCCTCAGCTCACCCTCCTCTCCCTACCCACTCCCCCCCCCCCGCCACAACACACACAAACATACACACAGCCTGGATGTTCTGGAAGGGATACCTACATGACATGGTCAAAGGAAACATGCGGAGGCATCAGAGACCTTCAATCCTCCCCTTTATGCTGCGATCACACTTCATAAACGTCCTCCCTCCCTTGTTCCATGACTGTAATTATTGATTTGCTCATTCTTCTTTCCCTGGACCTCCATATGGCAGTGCTCTTTCCAGTCACTGGGGTAGAGGATTGCTGTGAAGATTTTGGTCACAGGGAACCCTAAGGGAAAGCATTTTCACACAGGACAGGTCCTCCTGCAGAAATTGCTCATCCCTTCCTGCACTCCTCTTCCTAGTTCTAAACAGCATGTGTGTAAGATCATTTGATTTTTTTCTTCTTTCCTCTCCCTCTCTCTCTCTCTCTCTCTCTCTCTCTCTCTCTCTCTCTCTCTCTCTCTCTCTCTCTCTCTCTCTCTTTCTCTTTTTCTTTTTTGCAGCTTCTTCAGTCTGGAAGTTCCTTGAAGCAGAGTGCCCATCCGTTTTATCCACTATCCTAACTTACTGCCTGGAACATCACAGTTCCAGGAAGAAATAAGGACTTCTTATAAGAAATAAGTATTTCTTTTTCATCAACAGAAAATAACATGGTTTGGATCTGTATCCCAGAGCAGTTCTGACGCTTGGCATAGCTCTCTTTCCTTAAATAATCCCCATGAAATGGGATTGTTTCTTCCTGAAATAACTCTAGTTTGCCAAGGGCTGTTGGAAAGGTGTAATGGGAAAACTAGGGGATGAGCAGTAGGGGAGCATCGGGGACTTCATTTCCTCAGTTTCTCCACTTACTTTCTGCATACTTCTTTTGTCTCCACACCAAGTTATTCTGAGGGCCTGAACCTTTATTTCTTCTCTAGATTTGAAAAGACAATTTGGACTCTGGTCTCCAGAGTCCAAATTTCCTTAGGCCCATCCCAGATGCCAAAGTTATATTTTAAATCACAGGAAAATGCTAGGAACACTCTGAGCTAGTTTAGGCATGAGGAGGAACTTACGCTGTGTCAATAGCAAAGAGCAGGTTGACCTTGGTGGAAAGCAGGAAAACCCCAAGCCATAGGAACATCTGCCCTGGTCCTAAAGTGAAGTTAGTGAGGCTGGAGCGATAGCACAGCAGGTAGGGTGTTTGCCTTGCATGCGGCCAACACCCGGGTTCAATTCCCAGTGTCCCTTATAGTCTCCCAAGCACCGCCAGGGTAATTCCTGAGTGCAAAGTCAGGAGTAACCCCTGTGCAGGTGTGACCCCAAAAGCAAAATAAATAAATAAGTAAAAATTTAAAAAAATAATAAAGTGAAGTTAGTCTGGGTTTTGGAACTACTTAGAACCATGACCCCTTTCTTCTTTCTACTCTTTTGAACAGGAATGTCTCTCACTTTAGCTTTTCTCATCTGAGTTTGGGTAACAGAGGCCTTATTACCTGAGTTCCATGGGTTGACCAATGGACAATTTGTGGGTCAAGGTGGACTGAATCTAGAGCTGCATCTTAACCTGACTGGCATGAGTTTAGATGGTGAAACTTTGAACTTAGGAATTGGTAAGACTGAAGGAGATTTTTGGATTTCAAGTTGACTCTGGAGTATGTTGAGCCTTTGGGCCAGGTAGGGTGAGGCGAATGTATATTGCCTGTTGGACCTTTGGGAGCAAGAGGCTGAACTTTGTAGGCAGAATACTGGCATCCTCAAAGATGTCCTTGCCCTAATCTCTAGAAATTTGATTGTTATATGACACGGCAAAGGGAAATTAAGGGAGTAGGTGGAATTTAGGTTTTATGCAGCTGAAAATTCCTAGGTAGATTATCCTGGATGCTTCATGTGGTCCCAATTGTAATTGTCAGGGTCCTCAGAAAAGGAGGCAGAAGAGGAGGCAGGAGAGCTAGCAGAGTGAGAAGTTTTGGCTCAGTGGCATTTGCTTTTAAGATGGAAGAAAAAAAGAACACAAACCAAGGAAGGAGAGTCTCAGAGGCTGGGGAAGGCCAGGAAACAGCTTCTCCCCTTGTACCTCCGGTACTGTCAGATAATAACTTTGTGCTGTTTTAAGCAGCAGAGTTTGTGGTCATTTGCTACAGCAGCCATAGGAAGTGAATTTAAGTTCATGGGTTCTTCTGGGATCACAAGTCATTTCATGTTTATATTCCTTACTCTGCCTTCTTCAAAATAGGAATTGCTGCAAAGATATAGAAAAACACACACGGGCAGAAATCCTGGCTACAGGTGTTCAGGGAGTGGGAATTCTACTCCCCCAGGAGTCGAATGACATTCCCAGCATGCAACGGGCTCCTTTGAAGTGAGCTGGGTAAAGGTCTTTCCTGGGGACTCCTGAGCCACACCTTATCTGGAGCACTGCCCCTTATCTGTCTTTGGGGGACCAGCAGCTCCTCTCTTCACTCCCTGACGAAAAATCCCTTTGGAAAACAAAAGCTCTTTAGAAGACCTTGAGCTGGCTGGAGAGCCAGTGCTTCTCTCTGCAAACAGGCTTTGGGAGATGAAAGCACAGCTCAGACTCCCTATCTATATGGGAGGGTTCCCCCACCCCACCCCAAGGTCGGGAGCGGGTGCCTTGCCATGAGGTCAGTCCCAAATCCCCACTCCCCAGCCCTCCCAGTTGCATAGCCCTTCCACATTCAGCCTTCTGACGCCTTCATTAGTTGTGTTATGAGCTTTTATTTAAAAAGCACATTTAATACAAGTATAGTTTCGCAGATACAAGTTTTCACTTTGTATTCTACAAAAGTCTTTGCATATTATTCTCTTTACAAAATGGAATCTTACAAAAATACTGACAATTTAATGTTTTTATACAGTCTTCTCTAGTTGCAGTTATTTCCCTCCATTGTAAAACAAGGTCTACCACAGAACTACGATATTTTAGTTGATATTAAAAAAAAATTAACTCGATGCTTTTTTAAGCAGCTAATGTAAATAACACAGGTCGAGACACAGTTTATAATCATAGTGGATATAGCTAAAATTGTTTCAGAAATAATATTTTACATAGTTAACTTTTAATGTTTTATACATTATTTATATAATATTTATATATAAAAATCATAGCTTGCTATAAATTGAAATGGAAAGGACGGCTTCTGTCGTTAGGATGTGCCCGAGGTTGAGCCATGTGGTTACATTTAGCCCTTTGCAAGGTTTGCATCCAGATCGGAAAGCATTTCTCCCTTCCTCCTCTCTTCCGAGTTCCAGTCCCGGGGCTGTCTCCTGCCCAGAGTAGGCGGTAGAGCCTGCAAGTGTCTACTGCCTGCTGTCCTTGCTCAGAAGGACGCTCACCCACACCCACAAAGGGTAAGTAAAACTCTCCACGGAGATTGAACCCAGGAGTTCTGCCCAGCAGAACCTACCAAGAACTGCCCCAGAGATCAACCCCAAGACATTAGTGCTTTCTCCAGCTTAGCAAGAGCGATTCCGCCCACAGGCGCTTTCGCTCCATCCCTTCTCTGGAAGGTCAGTGGCTCAGACATGAGACCATCTGCTACTCTGGCTCCTTCGGACTTGGAGTCGACTCGGGGTGGGTCCGTTTTTTATTCGTGCCCCTTCACTTCCCCATCTCTGGCTCTCCATCACTGGGTGGCAGGCTTGGCTCCACACCCTCCCCACAGCTGCCCGGGGTGGGGGTGGGGGCGCACCACAAGGATGGCGAGGAAGAGCACAGGAGCCCCGAAGTCAACGTTCCTAAGAGTGTGCAAGTGCCGGGGATTTCGGTACAAGGCCGTTTCCACAGTGCGGGGCGCTGCATCCAGAGCGGAAGGCGAGGGCCCCTCTCCGTTCCCAAATTGTGCTATTTGTGAAATTCACTCATCCACAAAGAGTCTCCTACTTACTACTGGGAGGACACGAGGGACAAGACCCTAAGACTGGGAATTTGGATCCAGGATCTGATCACCGGACAGAGCCAACTTGCTCTTGTGTTACCTTGAAAAAACCAAACCAGACCCCAAATAGCCCCAAACCATCCTGAACCCAAAGTCAGTAAGAATAGAGTGGTGTGGACTGAGGGACAGAAGAAGGGGGGGTCCTTCTGGCCCCCAATATAGCTATTTTCTTGATTCAGTGCTTATGTCTGGCATTGTGTGCTACAAGGGGAATTGGAACTTTCCTCACAGGCCTGGGATACCTCTGGTCACAAGGTGACCAGCAGGCTGGACTCAAATTATTTTAGTGTTTGTTCCAGAAGAAGCCCGAGTTCACTAGAACACGAACACTGAGACCAATTGCACATCCGGGGTGTCGGCACTTGGTGTTAGTTTGCTGTTGTTTCCATATAGGCGAATGCTACCTATGCTGGAAGGCCACAAGGTATAAGTGGTGGGGTATTTTGTTTTGTTTTGTTCTTCCTTTTTTAAAAAAACCAGTTGGGTAAAAAGTTTTTCCCTACATTCTACTGTCTGATGAGATTGGCGAGCAGCAAGAAGTTGCTGTCAGTAGTCACTTTACAAGCGCAGCTCGGGAGGTGGGTGGCACCTACACCATGTTGTGGTGATTGTTCCTGTCAATAATGTCCACCGGGGAAAGGATTTCCTTCCGGATGGCAGGGGGAGGCAGTGAGAGTGTCGGCTTGGTCTTGAAGAGGTCGGACACGAAGAAAACCTAGAAACACAAATCAGAGATGCGAATCAGTTAAGAGACATCTTAGGGTCTGAGAAGATGCCACGCTGACAGGAGCATGGACTGTAGGCAAAGGGGGCCTCGAATCAGACAGTGCAGGACAGGGAAGGATCACAGAGACCAGCAAGCCCAATTTGAATTTTTATTGTACAAACAGGGATATAGGAGTCCAGAGAAGGGCAGTGCGATGCCCCTAGTTCTATAGGCCCTCAGTCCAGAGCCCTAGACCTCCCCGCCCCCCAACTCCCCACTTCCTCACTTCTCAAGGCAAATGAATAGCAGTGAAAGATAAGTTCCTAACAAAAGCACACAAGTCATAATTAGTCACAGCCGTAATCCACGATACTTTCCCTTCCTTTCCGCACATAGGAATCTAGGGTGTAACCCAAAAGATCAGCCTGTATCAATTCCTATCAGTAGGAGTTAGAGTAAGGAAGCAGTTATGACCTCTTTTCCTGAGCAAACCCAATGATATCAACAATTCGTTGGGGGTCAAAAAGCCAGGGTCTCCTTGTGGAGGGAATCAGCCACTCAGCAGGAGGAAAGGCAATGAACACTTCCCTATCGCTGACGCCCAAGGTCCTTCCTCCCACTAGGCATGTGAGCTGAGCGCCTCTTAGCATCACTGAGAAGTGCTTACTGAACACCCACTCATCAGAGACTAAGAATGGTTCCTCTCTCCACTCGGCTCAAGAGGAAAGGTTCCAGAAGTGGATGATGGGCTGCTGGAATATGCACGTTGGCTAGGAGATGGCTGCATGACGAAATGCATGGACACACATCATAGCTCTTTAAGCATGAATGTGTGGTCAGTCATCGCAAGAGGCAGCTCTCAGTTTTATATGGAATGTGTTCCAGGGCTTCTAAAGTGGAAGCAAAATATGTTCAAAGTTCTTGTTTAAAAGTTTTCTGGAGCCAAAGGTCTTTGTCTTTGGAGGGTAGAAGTTTCTTTAGTGATAGTACTGCTGCTTCATACTGTGCATCTGATACACTGGTAAGAAAATGAAGGTCTTCATTAGGCTTCACTGCCCTTCATGTTGGAGCAGCTTGCATCTGGTCACAGTAAGGATGTGGATCATCTGTTGAACCCAAAATCACTTCCGCAGTAATACTACAATCGACCAACTGCCACAAACACCACAGCCCAAGTGAGTGATGCTGGTTACCCAGGGAGACCTGGTCCATTCTCTGTAAAACTGTTCAGACATGGCATTCTTCTTTGGAAAAGAAGGCTACACACTATTTCTACACTCACAGAAGAAATTAGCCAGGAAGGCTCACCATTTTAATGTCTGTAGCCTGGATGCTACTGACTAGTTTGCAAAGAGAAAAATAAAGTTCTTGTCTCTTTTCTAAGGAAAACAGGGAGAAGTGTAGCAGAGATAAATAAAAGTGTCTCCTAGCCAGAGTCCAACTTGAGACAAGATGAGCCACTGTGCAGGGAGCACTAGGGTCCCCTATTTGGAAACACTTACCGAGCTATGGGAAAGGGGATTCTAAGCATCCCCGCTATAAGAAAACATGTAATGAAATGTAACAAAATTTAAATACAGAGATCATTCCATTTTTCATGTTGCTCTTAATAGGATCAGAACCTCGTCCTCATCTCTCCCTGGAAATCTCTGTCCTCTTCTGTCAACTCTGTCTCTTAAGAACTGGTTTCTTTCACTCCCTCCCTCCCTGCCTCTTAATTCCATTTCTTCAGGCTAGCAACTAGCTCCACCCAAGAGGAGTGGGCAGTGCCTCATTCTTAGAGATCTTTCCCCTAACCTTTTCCCATCTGCTGACTAATATAATAGGGGCAGTCTCCCACCCCCACGCAAACATCCCCCTTCAAGATCCGGACGCCACCTTAATCGACTGGCTTCCTTCCCACCTTCATTTCCAGGCCTCCTATCTCCTATATATTAGGGTTTCCGTTTCCTAACAGCAAGATAGAAATAACATAAAGGTCAAAGGCAATCATGTACTTGAGAAAACCCAACCCATGTCCAGAATCCAGCTCAAGGTCTTTTCTGTAATGCTTTCGAGCCAAATCACATTCTCTGGTTTTTCCAAAACCTGGTTTGTCAGCCTTTCCTCCTTGAAGAAGAAAGATAGAGCTCTGGGACACTGATGTCAACTCACACGAATTATCACACTTAGCTGAGACAGGACTACTCCAGAAACTCAAGATTTGCTGTACAGTTTCTAGAGTTTTTAGAGAAGTGTGCATGGGCCCTGAATCACTAGCACACACAGCTGCAAGAGACCTCAAGGGAATCACACTCTCACATGTGTGTACATGAGTACATCTGAGTGGCAAGAAAAGGAGTAGAGTCACGTCTCACAGAACCCCCTTTAAAGCTGATTTTGCCGCTCATAAGACCCAACCAGCAACAACATGTTAGTAATCTCTAATACAAGGCCTTAGTGACTCCAGGGTGAGATATAACAATCTTCACACACTTTCTCTAAAGAAACCTGTTTGGATCACTTTTAGCGGATTATTCATAACAAGAAACACAAAATAAATTATTTAGGATCTGCCTTTTAGGCAGGCTGGGGTGGTGGTGGTAGGAAAATTTGAAATAATGGTGGTGGGAAGGTGTAGCGGTGGTGGGATTGGTGTTAGAATATTGGATGTAATAAATTATTATGAACAACCTTATAAAAATAAAAAATAAATAAAAAATAAATTGAAAAAAATTATTTATAAAAATAAAAATTAAAGAGCTGATTTTGCTTTTGGCATGACTTGAGGTTTCACACATACTTTCTGGGAATCATGATACATGATCCTTTCAAGCAGGACTCCGAAAGAACCGATGAAATGAACAAATCTTGATCAGATGCAGTTTCATTTACCAAAGATGATTTCCAGCCAAAAAAATAAAATCCAGGTTTGGAAACCTCTACCCAAATGAAGCAGATCTCTTGGTCTATAGAATAAACCCATTCACAGTCCACACATCTCTGGAAAAATACCCCATAAAACAATAAATAGTCTCTGCAAGCTAGAAATCTACATCCGAAGACCCAAGAAAAGTTACAACTTACACACTGTCCTGTGCTTTTGCTTTTTAATTATATTCTTTGATTTCGTAAGTGACTTTTTGGGGGGGGGGGGGGGGAATTCAACCAAAAATACATATTCAAAATCCAGGCCCCGAGACCCTGAGATGAGAAAGATAACCAGAAGTTAGACAGAGCCTTTCACCTTCTGAGATCTCACAGGGCAATGCGGGAGCAAGTGACAGGTAAACAGATAACTACAATTCAGCCTCATGAGCACGACAGTGGAGTGAATCCAGATGTTGAAGAAGCGCAGAGGACGAGGCATCTAACTCAGGAGGAAGAGTGAGTAAAAAGGGTCTGAGAAAGCTGCCCGCTAAGGAGTATATTGAGCTTAGCTTTGAAGGATAAGCCAGGTGGTGAATGCCAGGAATGTTGTTTTAGGCAAAGGGAGAGTGGGAGCAGAGGCACAGAGCTCCAAGAGAGAACTGCACATTCAGACACTGTGTGAAGCTCAGGAAGGGGAGGGCTGGGCAGTCAACCATGATGAAGAGGAGAGTTTTGAGAATCATCCTATGACACACTGAGGAATTCAAACCAGATTCTCTTGACCCAAGGAACCACTGCTGAGGCTGAAGCAGGAAACTGAGTGTTGGGAAAGCTTGACACTAAGATCATGGGCTTGCATGAAAATAGAGAAATTGGAAAGGCCAATTTCCTAAGGTCGCAATTCACATCATGCTCTCAGCCATCTCCAAGTCTCTAGGCTTGGATTCCTTATGAGGATTCTCTATGCAGAGGGACTTATGGCAGAGATACCAGTCAAGAACCTGTTGAAGAATCAAGGGGGGCTGAATCCTCAACATCAACTATGTTGAGGGCAAAAAGATGAATGTTGAGACAGAGTTGCAATTGATGGAAGGGGTGTGTGTGTGGGGGGGGAACTTGAGAGGTTATATTTGTGCATCTCATTCTCTTTTCAACTCTAGAAATCTTTATACTTGTTCCCATAAAAACTTTAAGACTTGGAATGACTATGCTAGGGGAGATATGTAGCTCTGCTTTCCCCTGACTTCTGTGACTTGGGAAACCCTGATGGTGTCCTAGGACAGAGTTCTGACAGTCAGAACAGCAGTCTTCTGTGCTGTAAGACTGCACAGAAGTCATCATGGGGCTATAAGATGATGTGATTTGTCCAGGTATTCAGAAAATGTTACCCTGCCAGCAAGTGCAAGACTACACACAAATAAGCAGCTCCAAGTCGAAGTCACTCATTCATGATGATGAGATAAGAAGCAAGGATGCCCATGGAAGAGGCCAGGATCGGGACTGAACTAGTACATTGCCCTCTCCCAGTCCCTGGCTAATATGTGTGGCCCAGGAGACAAGCTTTGTTCTTTTGAATGGGACCAACTTGTCTTCAAGGCCGACTTTTCCCCATTTTTCAGGAAAATATGTGAGATCTACATACCTGTGCAAAAGAGTTACCATAGGGGGACGGAGTGATAGCACAGCAGGCAGGGCATTTGCCTTGCACGCAGCCGACCTGGGTTCGATTCCCAGCATCCCATAGGGTCCCCAAGCACCTCCAGGAGTAATTCCTGAGTGCATGAGCCAGGAGTAACCCCTGTGCATCACTGGTTGTGATCCAAAAAGAAAAAAAAAAAAGAGGTACCACATAGACTGATTGTTGCTTATATACAACAACACAAAAGGCAGAAATGTGGTATAGTATGCACTGTGGAGGTGGGGTGGTAAAAGGGAGCTGGTATGCTTAATGCCTACCTACGATCTTCCCCCGCGTCTGATGTAGGAAGAAAGAAGAGAAGGAGCTAGATAAAAGGAAAGGAGAGAAGGGGAGACAGAGATGATGGGTCCAGCCTCCAGCGATGCTGATGATGTGGGAGCTATATATTCAAAACACAGGCTCAAAACTCTGAAAACATGAGCTCTAAGCTGCAACCACCCGAACTCTGGAATGTGCCTGT